GCCGCAGTGATAATCTAATATTGCTTAGCCACATGCCACATCCACGAGTTCAATGCACAGTGATCCTTCTCAATCCGCATTAGCCTCAGCTCTTCCTGGTAGCAGCTCCCTGAAATAAAAGGAGCCTGCTAAATAACTCAAGAGCAATTCAGTTGCAAGTGAGTAGAATCAATGGCCAGGATCTTACTTTTAATTGTTGAAAATAATGCACAACTTTAATAATATTATAAAATGGACTTAAAAGCATGCAGCTTTCTTTGGAAGGTTTTCTTTCCACATTTATCTTTAACTAAATGTCGAGAAAGTACACTATTAGGCCTGTAAGCACTAATAGTTTACCACAACTCCCTCCTCACTTTATGTAATTTATTTAAAGCTTATAAAATGATAAATGTGTTTTTCCTAATTGTCTGGTAGTGCAGAATTCTTATATACTATTTGAGATTAGCTAACCTAAATGACTAAGTGGTATGATTCTTATATCTGGAATTTTTAATTATTTTAAAAGTAATGTTCTAGTAGTAATATAATTTTCAATTTGTTTTGAAGTGTGTTACTTGGTTTGGCAAGTCAGAGTTTCCACTGAGGAATGCTATATGTGTGCATTTATTACTATTAGACATCAACATGAGTGTTTATACTCCTGGGATATGATTCTTCTGTAACAAGAACCCTGAGCCCTGGAAAATACAGTTGTTGTTATTGTACATTTTGTTATGCTAACCATGAACACAAAATTAATTGTCTTCATCTTGTTATTTTACTAATTGGAGTAGTTTCTATCTGTGTGGGATGTGCTAGGATTTGAGACATGCTGCTTTGAGTAATGAAGGAAGCCGGCAGATGGTTCCTTCTGTTAAGCAGAAAATGCCCACCATCCACATGTGGACCAGGTGTGGTCCAGTCTTTCTTCTCTTGTCTGCTCACTTGGTCTCATTAACGGAGAGGCGTATAATACATACTTGGTTGCTTTGTTGAAATGACTCTGTCGCTATGTCTCCACACACCCCAACATAACAAACTCCCAGTAATTGTAAACTTTCTCACGATTCTGTGGAACAAAAAGAATCTAGTGACCAATAGTATTTTGTTGCTTATTTTATTATCATATATAAACCAGGAAATTATTTTTAAATAGAATCTTGTGTGTGAGATGTTAGAGAAAGAAGCGCCACACAAAATAACTGGAGACCAGTTCCAAACACTGGTCATGCTTTTCCATTTCATAGAAAGTTGATCACAAGTTGTTTCCTTTGGGTTTGAGGTGGGTACTGAAATTCTTCGTATCAAAACCTGTTAAAAACATGAAAAGAAAAACAATAAATGTCTGCTCTTCTTTTTCAAGCGTCATTGCCATTTGTCCAGAAGGGGGCGCTCTCAGCCCGTATGCAGCAAAACTCAGCGCTGTCTGAGCTAGGAAATTGTCTAACAGGAAAATATCAACACAAACCATGCGTTTTGCCGCTGGAGCACGCTGGACCTCATCTGCTTAAAAAGATGCACGGATATAGTCATCACAGTTCATAATTTAATAAACTGCTAAAAAAACCCCACACATTTTCATTTTAGCGACTTTGGTCTCACAACTAAATTCGCATTGCTACAAAGACATTTGAATTTTGCACTAATATGTCATGAGCACTGCACTCACTGCAAATTAATGAGTCTCTGAATAGCACTGTGCATTTGTCATTTGAATTTATGCTAATGCAATGAGGTCTCCTGGTGATGCTGATAGTCCATAGCAGCCGCTCGAACCGGGAATACGCCCGCACTCCCCTTCCACTTCATACTGCAACCTTCTTGGGCTTTTCTGCCCTGTCACTTAGGCAGCAACCCTGTCGCTGGTTATTGATAGGGCTGCTAATTATCTTTGACTTTTCACTATTGGCCTGACCCCCAACACCGAGCAGAAGTAATGGATCAGTGTTGAGAGAATTATGTACATCACAAAGTGATGGCCTCTGACCAGAAGGTCACAATGAGTTCACCGAGACCCAATGGTATTTGCGAAGGATGTCAGTATAGAAATTGTAGACAATTGCCAGAGATACTGTGTAATTTATATCAATAAGACAGTCCAAGAAAATGCCTGTACTTTCTGCAGACTTGATGAACAACATTTGTTTGTATGCTCAAAAAAAAAAAAAAAAAAAAAAAAAAGAAGAACCCCCCTCCTTGGCTTTCTCCATTTCTGTCTTGTTTATATTGTGACAGAAGACAATGGCCGTAGTGCTTCTTGGTTATTGGGGCATCTCAGTATCTCAGTCTTCATTGTGGTTGTACAAATTTTTTGTTGGGAGTGGGTAAGAGGTGGTGCATTTGAAACTAATGGTAGGGTTGCTGGCACCTTGGGGGTGCACAATAGCAAGTCTTATGGAATATTAGCGACAAATGCTGCGAGTATTTTTATCCTTTGCCCCAAGACTTGACTGTGAAGTTAATTTTTTTCTTGGTTTAGTACTTGCCCTTGCCTTGTTTCTAGATACTGCAAATGAAGAAGGTGCAGTTTATTCCAGTGTATTCAGAAGAGGCAGATTTCGTACTTAGAAATAACATCAAAAAGTGGATAAAAAAGCCGAAAGCCTCAAACAAAAGTATCAGTCGATTTTACACATTTTGAAAATTGTTCTTGTAGGATGTGTGGTTTCTCCCCAACGGGGACAAGTACACAAACTTTTTTTTATTATAACAATTAAAGCACACACATGAATTTTGCTTAAAATACTGCATTGTTATTATCTATTCCTGGGACATAAACAAATCAGAGACAAGAGTCAGTTCCTGGACTATGTCAAGCAGAAAAAGGCATCCTAAGGTTGGTAGGGACAACAGCTCCTTAAGTGACTTGAGAAGCCTGGGGGAGAAATGAAGTGACCTGATGTTCTCACTGAGCCCTCAGAATTTAAAGCCTCCTCTCTGAACCTCTGAACAATGCATTTCACGAAGAAGAGGAACGTAAATTCGAACACTTCAGCCTTGCATGCTGCCCAGGGTGTGGATCCCAGGAGAGGCAAGTATGTCCTCAGTCTCTCTCTCTCTCTCTCTCTCTCTCTCTCTCTCTCTCTCTCTCCCCCTCCGTCTCTCCCTCTCTGTCTCTGTTTCTCTCTGTCTCTCTGTCCTCTCCCTCTCCTCCTTTCTCCCTCTCTCTCCCCCTGCTCCACGCTCGGGTTAAAGGGCCGCTCTGCAGAAGGAGCCTGAGCAAGAAGGCAGCTAATAGATTCCTCACTGTAGCGCCTCCGTTTTCCATCAAGGAGGGGAGACGTTTTCACTCTTCTTGGAAAAACTTTGAAATGTAAACTGTTCCGATTGATGGCTCCTTCTGGCCCTGGCAACTCTTTTTGGTAGCTGGTGCTCTTTCTGTAATACTTGTTAAAAACGTCTCTGTAGCAAAGATGTTGTTTTTTTATGTGATTTTTTTTTTTAAGTCGGCGCATGTGTGAGTACAGACAGGCTCTCATCTTGCACAGCGGAGACTGGCAGGTGAGCACCTCCCCCTGTTGTCCTTATTCATTTGCAGTACTTTATAAGATTAGTCTCTTGGAAAGCTGTTTGCAGTCGAAACTGTCAATCCACTTCCAATGTGGTCCCTCTCACTGGGAATGGCTTCTCACAACCTGTGAGGGTGGTGTGGCCAGGAGTCCCTTTCCTAGCCTGGGTGTATTTAATACGCCAGATAACCTGCTCTAACCCCTCCTTGGAAAGACTGTGGAGACAGCTTTAAGGAAGAAGATAGATATGTTTATCTTAAAGATCATGTTTAGTGTTTAAACCACATACACTACCTCCAACTCCCTACTCAATTTCAATCTTTTATTTTTTTAATAAAATTCCATTTTATTCAGTCATCTATAAAATGACTATGTGTATGTGATTTTTTTATACATCTGAGAAGAATTCAGGAAGTAAAATTAATCATCCTGCTTTAAGCAACTGGTTCAAATAGTGAAATTTGGAAACCTCACAAAACAGGATGAAAAATACCCATGCCAGTCTAAGTTTTAACTCCTTGTGTGGATCTGATAGCCTTCTTGCAATGACGAGTCCTTCACCATCCTGTATTCTCCACGAGCTGTGTTGTGAGTTATGTATTGTTATTTGCTGGCACCTATTTTTCTTTGTTGGATCATGCCAGGTGAGTTACAGTACTAATTGCTTTCCCTAAAGACTGAATTTCCGGTGTGTTCCAACCCCGGTGATGACTTTGTTTCTAAGATGGCCCACCTTCTCCTGCAGGGACCATTATCCTGTCCACGGTGAGCTCTCTCACTTGCCAACCACTGTGCCAACCAAGAGCGCATTCTGTAGCCACGAGGCGACAGATCAATGGAACTGTGTCCTGTCAAGTGTTTAGGTCAGGGACTGATTAGCTATTTGACATTCTGAAAAGAAACTCGGGTCTGCTGTAGTCACCGTTAGTCACCTGTCTGCTGAGGGGGTTAGAAATACTTGTCTCCCTTTGATCCTCCAGACAGACAGATGACAGATGTACAAACACAACAGGTGCACATAGGCATTCATTCTCTAGTTTTATGTACCCCCTCATATATATGCATCTGTATATAAGGGAATGTATATTTATGAATATGTATGTATATATGTGCATATGTTTACATATGTAGATATGTGAATAACTATGTATGTACACACACAAAATTAGGCTGGAATTATCATACTGTTATTTTTAGTCTTTGAAGTTACAGATTAACAAGAAAGAGTGGTATGATGTTATCAGAAGAATTTCAACAGATTTTCAAATTATTTCCTCAAATGTAGGTACATTTAATACTTCCTAAAAATATGACATATCTAATTCTCTCCTTCTGGATAGGTTCTGTTGCTAACTGCCTCTGCTACAAGCTCCTACATCCTCGGTGCATTGTGATTGCTATAGGGTGTGTATGAGCATTGTGTCCCAGGCCTCTGCCTTCAACACTCCTGTAACTGAGTAGAAAAGTTAAATGAGGGCACCATGCACAACAGAGTGTCATCAGAAATAAATAGAAAACGGCAAACAATGGAACTATTCTCTTGCAACGAAGAGAACAATACCAGGTGATATTTGCCATTCATTATGTATAATCCTTAAGAATTGTTTTGTAGAACATAGAAAAATTCAAAGAAGAGTCTAAATGACAGAACCTTTGGTACATGTAGTGTCTAGCTTCTCTTTCCCAGGCTCACTTTTCTCTCTCTCGGCGTGTAGGAGTCCTAGGAGCTATGCGGAAATCTCCTTTCTGTAGTCATGGCCAGTGCTAAGGCCAAGCAGAAGGGACTCAGCTGGAAATCCCGGGAATGCCGGCCCTTTCAGGGAGGATTTAGCTGTCAGTGAGCCCCTCCCAGTGCAGAGCTTTCCTCTTTCTTTACTATAGGCTTAAACTTCTGAACAGAATGAGGATAATTAATTAATTAATCTGAGACAAGTCTTACTATGCAGCACTGGAACTCTGTATTTATACCAGGCTGCCTTTGAGCTCAAAGAAATCTACCTTCCTCTGCTTCCTTAGTGTTGGGATGAAACGTGTGTTCCAACATGCCCCACTTGGTGATTTAGTTGCAAGGAAACAAAAACATATCTGCAAAATGAAGATAAATCTATAAACAAGATATTATTTAAGATCCTGTCTAAAGTAGAAATTTTTATTTTTATTTTTCCAAATGGTAGAAAAAAGGAGGTTTAGTTTTTTTCAATAAATGTTTCTATGAATTTTTCGCTTCATATAATTTATTTTGATAGTATTCACCCTAACTCCTTTTCTTAACTCTTTCCAGATACAATTTGCCTCCCTACTTTTCTTAAGTGCTTTAGTTTCTTTTATTTTTATTTTTATTACTTTATAAATAATACCAATCAAAATTTCTCCTTCCTCCCCTCATTCCACTTCCCTCCAGCTCCTCCACTCACTCTTTCCCCCCTCCCACTCCAGTACAAAGAAAGGGCAGGGTACCCTGCCCTGTGGGAAGTCCAAGGCCCTCCCCCCTCCATCCAGGCTTAGGAAGGTGTGCATCCAAATAGACTAGGATCCCAAACAGCCAGTACATGCAGTAGAGACAAATCCCAGTACCATTATCATTAGCTTTTCAGTGTGCCCCAATTGTCAGCCACATTCAGAGGGTCCAGTTTGATTCCATGCTGGTTCAGTCCCAGTTCAGATGGAATTGGTGAGCTCCCATTCGTTCAGGCACACTATCTCAGTGGATGGACCAACCCCTCCTGGTCCTGACTTCCTTGCGCATCTTCTCTCTCCTTCTGCTCTTCACCTGGACCTTGGGAGCTCAGTCCAGTGCTCCGATGTGGGTCTCTGTCTCTATCTCCATCTGCTGTCTGACGATGGTTCTATGGTGATATTCAAGATAGTCATCAGTCTGACTACAGTCCAAGGCCAGTTTAGGCACCCTCTCCTCCACTGCCCAGGGTCCTAGCTGGGATTATCCTTATGGATTCCTTGGAACCCCTCCAAGCCAAAATGGCTCCCTCAATTAAAATATCTCCTTTCCTGCTCCCATATCTGTCCTTCCTTCATCTCAACCATTCCATTCCCCAAAGCTCTCCCCAACCCTCCTCTTCTTCCTTCTCTCTTCCCCTTTTCCCTTCCCCCTACCCCACCCCCATGCTCCCAACTTATGCCTGGCTATCTTATCTGCTTCCAATTTCCAGGAGGATCTATATATATATTTTTCTCTGGGATCACCTTATTACTTAGCTTCTCTAGAATCGCGAACTATAGGCTCAATGTCCTTTGTTTATGGCTAGAATTCACTAATGAGTGAGGACATACCATATTCATATTTTTGGGTCTGGGTTACCTCACCAGGGATAGTGTTTTCTATTTCCATCCATTTGTATGCAAAGTTCAAGATGTCATTGTTTTTTTACAGCTGAGTAGTACTCTAATGTGTAGATGTGCCACACTTTATTTATCCATTCTTCCATTGAGGGGCATCTAGGTTGTTTCCAGGTTCTGGCTATTACAAATAATACTGCTATGAACATATTTGAACAAATGCTTTTGTAGTATGATTGGGCATATCTTGGGTATATTCTCAAGAGTGGTATTGCTAGATCCTGAGGTAGGTTGACTCCCAATTTTCTGAGAAACCACCACACTGCTTTCCAAAGTGGTTGCACAAGTTTGCATTTGATGAGTGTTCCCCTTACTTCACATCCTCTCCAGCATAGGCTATCATTGATGTTTTTGATTTTAGCCATTCTGACAGGTGTAAGATGGTATCTCAAAGTTGTTTTAATTTGCATTTCCCTCATAGCTAAGAAAGTTGAACGTGTCCTTAAGTATCTTTTGGCCATTTGAAATTCTTCTGTTGAGAATTCTCTGTTTAGTTCAGTACCCCATTTTTTAATTGGGTTATTTAGAATTTCCATGTCTAGTTTCTTAAGTTCTTTATATATTTTGGATATCAGACCTTTGTCTGGTGTGGGATTGGTGAAGATCTTCTCCCATTCAGTAGGTTTCCTTTTTTTTTTTTGCCTTAATGGCAGTATTCTTTGCATTACAGAAGCTTCTCAGTTTCAGGAGGTCCCATTTAGTCATTATTGCTCTTATTGACTGTGCTACAGTGGTTCTACGTAGGAAGTGGTCTCCTGTGCCCATGTGTTGTAGAGTACTTCCCACTTTCTCTTCTATCAGGTTCAGTGTGTTTAGATTGATATTGAGATCTTTATCCATTTGGACTTGAGTTTTGTGCATGGTGATATATATGCATCTATTTTCATTCTTCTACAGGTTGACATCCAGTTATGCCAGCACCATTTGTTGAAGATGCTTCTTTTATGTCCTCTTTTTTTTTTTAAGTGGAGCAGCCTATCAACTCTGCATTTTGCTCTTCATATATTTCTGGGTGTGATGTGGTCCAATGGAGCACCGTTGATCTACCAGGAATCACACCCTACAAGAAAACTGACTCCTCCTCCCACAAAAGCCACTAGCCATCCATGGCTCCTCAGTTATGAGTAGGAGCTCATGACACTCCTTCTACTCCATGATAAAAAGTTGGATTGATCTTGCTCAGACAGCCACAGATGTTGTGAGTTCATGAGTCTTGTCATGTCCGGAAGACACTGTTTCAATTTGGTCCTTTCTTGCCTTCTGGCTCTTAAAATCTTCCTGCTCTATTTTCTGTGATGGTCCCTGAGCTTTGATCATGTGTGACTGTACATTACATAATCACTTATTCTCTGTACTTTGATTAGATGTGAGTTTCTGCATTAACTTCCATCTGTTACACACAAAGAAACCTTTTTGATGAGAAATGCATTAATCTATAGAATAGAGATAAGAATGTAGAGTCCATTTTGATAATATGTCCCTTTAGCAACAAAATGAAAACAACAATCTTTCCAACCAAAAATAGATGAACATCAAAGAAAATCTCCCAGTTTGGTGGTTGACTAAATAATAGGCCCCACAGGAGGATCTAATGCTGTTATTTTGCCAGATGGGCATAAGTATAAACTGGCCTCTAAGTTCCCATCTTTATATGAGAGATTAGCACATCTCTCAAACCTGATCAGAGAAGCTGGTTTTGTTTTGTGTTTTTGGGTTTTTTGTACATAGTTATTAAGTTGTAAGTCTCTTTAGAGACCGGTAAACATTCAGAAAATGAGAGACCTTGTCATGCTCAGTTCTAAATGGACATCTATGCAACACCCTCACACTAACACCCAAGAATCGCTGCAGGAAGAAGAGCAGAAAGATTGCAAAAGCCAGAAGAGCAGATGTCTGCAGGAAAACAGTATTTGATGGACATAATAGCTGCATTGCAGACATGAATTCACTGTGGCTGTGATTACACAAATCTTATACAAGATCAACCAGCTAAAACACCAGCATGGATGTTGGAGGTACTCGTGAAGTCCCACCTATAGCTGAAGAGTTATTGGTAATTAATGGCCTCTGGGGAAGGGAGAATCAGTTTTCTTTAGGAATGCAGTCCCAGAGAGGCTTCTGTGCTCCAGCACGTGGTCCTGTACCCATTTACATATAGGAAACACTAAGGTGACTCTGTGGGTTTTAAAATAAAAAGCAAGTGAAGTTGGAAGGAAAGTGGTCATGGAGAGATAGGGCATATATTGGAAGAAAGGAAATGCGGTGGGTTAGAACAGAACACATTGTGTACAAGTATGAAAATTTCAAACAAATAAGTAGTGAGAAGTAAAATAGTTTTTATTTTAGGACTTGAAAAAATAGGGAAGGGGAGGATATACATCTATCATCCATCTATCTATCTATCTATCTATCTTTCTATCGTCTGTTTGTCTATTTATCTGTCTGTCTACCTATCTGCCTGCCTGCCTACCTATCTACCTCTACCTATGTACCTACCTGCCTATCTACCATCTGAACATGGAAAGATGCTTAGGGAATACAGGAAAAGGAAGCAGGAAGCAAGTCTGCTGGTACTTCATTTGAGAGTCAGTGAAGTGAGCTTCTACTATTATTTCCCACATTCTTAGCTAGTTCTTTGATATCAAATAACTTGCCTTTCTGATGTAGACATGAGAATGTAAAATTGAAAATTCTCTTAACCCCTAAGGTATAGAATGAACATACTGTATAACTGTGTATACTACCTAAAACAATATTTTAAAGTCTGCACTTCTAAGAGTGTTCACAATAAAAAAATAGTGAAAGTGAGTTTTTAAATAAAAAATTTAATTAAATTTTAACATTCTGAGTTAACAAGAAAACTTTGTACATTCATGACATAAGCATTATATATATGTATTTATTCTGAAACTGTTATTCTAGTTAAAATCCCTCATATAATGATCGTGTCTGTGGTAACAGTGTTTAACATCCACAATGAATTTATCACTGGAACTCACTCATAAGTGTAGTCGCCTTGTCACACACTAGGTTCCCAGAATTTATTCCTCTAATTTGGGATACAGATGCGATCTTTGATCTAAATCTTTTCAACCACCTTCCCCACTATCAACCCACCCCTGTTCTCGCTCTGCTTCTGTTAGATCAAGGCTTCCAGACTCCTCATATGAACAAAATCTTCTGACATTTTTCTTTTTGTGCCTGTGTTAT